CATTGTGTTTACCTCCTGGTCAAAGAAGAAAATGAAAAGAAACCTTTGTAAAATGTGCAAGTCTACACAATGTTGTCTGGCCTTGCTGGACGGGTACAGGGTTCATAATCCTAAGACATGCATTATACTCCACATAGAAGCCAGCAGAGGGAGCACGGCTGAGGCCACTGGCGGGAGTCGGCACTCACTGTGGGCCCCCAGGCCCTGACCCTCCCCGGCTGAAGGTGCCCTTGCCCCACATCGGGCCTGGCCATGAGAACCCTTGATACCAGGTTTTGACAATTTTATTAGAAAACAAGTACAGCCCACTAATCAATGATACATGCTGTACATGAATTGGTGTTTTTACTACAAAAATATGTGGTATCTGCTGCTGACTTATACACACGAGTCTGTAAAAGACTCCTCCTCATTAACCATTACAGATATAATTATCACAAGTGCCCTTTCACGCCAGCTCCGTACCCGCAACTGCAAATAAGAGAGTCGGGAGAATGGAACAGAAACCCAGCTAAGCCAGTGGTAGCAGCTTGAAATGCAACACTTTAGTGCACGTGCAAACCCGTCGTAAGCATTCAGGCTGAAAAACTGTATCATCAGAAACGCAGTGAAATCTAGTTACCGAGGATCCCTGAAAGGACAAGCTTAAAAGAGGTTTTTGGGGAAACAGTTCCCAGGGAACTCGGGGGTACGCTTTCCTCTGGGACCCTCCGCCCTCCGCCGGGCATGGCCGGGATTCTCGCCCCAAGGCCCCAGGTGCCAGCCGCTGGCCGTTCCTGGCTGTCTGCCCTCACCCCCGTTCCTGGCTAGTTCTCAGGTTCAGAGTGGCCTTCCTGGGACTCATGTGTGGGTATTTCTAGAGCTGACCGACTGAACCTCTCAGCACGATGTGCAGCATCTGCTCTGAACTTGGGAAGAGGACAGTCCTCCCTGGCACCCCCAAACTGCTGGCCGGGTCTCCCAGGTGAAAAGAAAGTGCTTTCTTTAAAAACAGCAGCTCCAAAGCCACGCTGTGCCCACGACTGCCAGATTGAATCCAAGAGAAATAGGTGGGAGGAGGTGGCAGCGAATCCACTTCTGTCCAGTTCTGATTACTTTTGAGGAAAAAATACCAAAGGAAAGTCTGTGTTCACCTATGATATTAAATATTAAAAACACAAATACAAAAGGCCTGCCATGTCTCTGTGACCTACCATGTCCCCGTGACCTGCCATGTCCCCGTGACCTGCCATGTCCCTGTGACCTACCATGTCCCTGTGACCTGCCATGTCCCCGTGACCTACCATGTCCCCGTGACCTACCATGTCCCTGTGACCTACCATGTCCCCGTGACCTGCCATGTCCCCGTGACCTGCCATGTCCCCGTGACCTGCCATGTCCCTGTGACCTACCATGTCCCTGTGACCTGCCATGTCCCCGTGACCTGCCATGTCCCCGTGACCTGCCATGTCCCTGTGACCTGCCATGTCCCCGTGACCTACCATGTCCCCATGACCTGCCATGTCCCCGTGACCTGCCATGTCCCTGTGACCTGCCATGTCCCCGTGACCTACCATGTCCCCATGACCTGCCATGTCCCTGTGACCTGCCATGTCCCCATGACCTGCCATGTCCCTGTGACCTACCATGTCCCCGTGACCTGCCATGTCCCCGTGACCTGCCATGTCCCCGTGACCTACCATGTCCCCGTGACCTGCCATGTCCCCGTGACCTACCATGTCCCCGTGATCTGCCATGTCCCCGTGACCTACCATGTCCCTGTGACCTGCCATGTCCCCGTGACCTGCCATGTCCCTGTGACCTGCCATGTCCCTGTGACCTGCCATGTCCCTGTGACCTCAGGAGGCGGCACACGGCTGTGGCTGTGCAGTGTCCGGGTTCCTCTGACCTGTCCTGGGACGACTATCAAGTGTTAACATGTTCTTCTACACCAGAAAACACAAACACAACTTCTCTCGTTTTTACTTACCAACATGCATTTACTTTAGGGGAAGAACATATGGAGGCAGAAACTTTTCCATAAAAATCTACCGTGACTTTTGTTAATTCCAATATTTACAAGAATGAGCAGCGTACCATCCTGGAAACTACCATTTCTTCCCACAAAAGGCGGGGGAAGGCAGGTGTGGCCGAGGTCACACCCTCGGCCGCAGCCCTGGAAGCAGCCCAGCCAGCCCAGCACTGAGTGACTGCTGTCGGCAGCTGCCGGCTTTCTAAAAGCCAGGTGTCAGCAGACAGTGAACAGGCAGTCTGTGGGCACTCTGCACGGACACCGCGCAAACCAGCCTGAGCCCCCAGGCGGAAGCACAGCCCCACAGTGAAATGCTAATGGTAACCCGGCTTTGCTCCTGAGCCAGGAGAGCCGGCACAGCGGCTGAGAGGAGAGCGGTGGTCAGGAAGGTGGTTAATCTGTGGGTTGTGTGCGTGACCCAGTGGAGGAGGAAGTGACTTGGAAGTTGTCCTTCCAAAGTAAAGAGCCAAGTGAAATGCAGAAGAACAAGGTGGGACAGAATGGCCATCCCGGGGGCAGCAGGAGAGGATCCCTTCTCTGCTACTCTTGCTTTTGACCTCTCCCCAGTGGAAAGCTAAGGTTATTTTAAAACCTTGAAATCCTGGAGAATCTCTTTTTTTGTTGAAATGGCAGTTTTAAAGGTCTAAAATTCAGTCTTTGGAAACGGCTGCTGGCTGCAGATGTGTGTGAAAAATGCAAGGCCAGTGGCCAGTTCTCCAATGTCTTCCCATGCCCCGGCCACTCAAGGGGCCCTGCAGTCCCGTCTGGGCACAGCCCCTGGAACTTCGAGTGACTCCACAAATGCATTTCCTGAATGTTCTTTCCAGTTGTTGGCTCTCCCGGGCCTTTTCTCGGCAGCTCACACACCCAGAGGGCAGCGGTGGCCTCTGGAAGGCCTTCCCCGCCCCTCTGCTTTGAGTTGCCCGGGCTGCTGTTGTCACCATCCTGCCCTTACCCATCCGACTCCAGGTGGCCTGGGGTGAAGGGTCATGCAAGTCTGTGCCTGTACATCAGCGAGGCCAGCCCAGCCCAGCGCCACAGGACAGGCGTCACCTGCTACCCGAGAGGCACGGGGCCCTCCCCTCGCAGTCTCTCCCTGGAGTCGGGCCTTGGGGCTGCAGACAGCAACTGGCGCTTGGCTGGAGGGGCTGCTGAGCAGGCATGTGGTACCGGACCTTCTTCCAGAACCTTGTCTTTGCAGACTGTGACCTCTCCGCCGTCCAGTCCCCTGACCAGCGGATGGCCCCCTGCTTCCGCTTGAGGAACTGGATGGACTCGGGCATTTTCTCGTAGTCCTGGATCTTCTCCAGCTCCAGCAGGACGACTTTGACCCCGTCCTGAACGAGGGCATTGTACAGCACGATGTGCTCTTCAGACGAACTCTCCAGCCAGCTGAATCCCGATGTTTCTCGGACCAAAATAATAATCAGCCTTCTGCTCTTCTTTATGTTTTCATTTGTGACCTCAACAATGTCTGAGAAACACAAAGCATGGCATAGTAAGTGCAACTTCTATTTACAATCATTCTTTCCAGAGCCAAAACCCCAGTGTCCCCTAACACTTGCCTTACTTAGGGTTAAAGGAGGATCCCACTTAGAGACCAGCTCAAAACACTGGCCCCAGAAGCTGAGCATTCTCTTAGGACTCAGAGCACTTTCAGTAAGAATTTAAAATCTGGTTGGTAAACCGGTTGACCTACTCCTCTTTTATTTTACTGTATCGGCTATAAAGCAATTTTCAGATCTAACTAGCAATTACGTTTTCAAAAACGAAGTACCACTTAGTTAATTGTTGTTTCAACAAAATACGAGAAAAGTAAATACTTTGCATTAAATAATGTGAAAATCATTATGCACCACTGAAGAGGGTCTTAAAATTGTCAAATATGTTACCTATGCTAGTCATCTAGAAAGAGGAAACCCAATTTAATTAACCCGATTAATTTAATAGATAAATTAGTTTCAAAACGAGATTTTTACTCCTCCCTTTACGTTCATACCTTCCCCGGCGTAGTCATCCCTTCCATAAATGAACAGCTTGTATCCACACTGTTTTTCTAAGACCTCAGGTAAGATTTTAAACACAAAAATATCTGAATTAGAGGTGGACCCTTCCCCAAGGGTCTTTGGATACAGTATGTATGCATCGTAGGTCTTTCCGTCTGAAGCTAAAGGGGAAATGTGATATTTTAGAACCACAAGGAAAAATAAGAGGTTTGGTAAAGTCGATATAGCAAACATGCACTTCCGAATGAATTACTAGTTCATATGATGGTATGAATGAAGTTTCAATACAAAACACAGCACACCTTTTTCAAATGCTGTACCCTGACAAGTGTCTCTTTGTTGAGTTTACTGCAAAGCTGTTCTTATGTTACTGACGGCCACCCACATGCAGCACCCTCCACCTCTCTGCATGGGAATGACCTCCAGTTCTCGTCTCCCTCACCACGCCACAACGCCCAATTCTACCATTCTCCCTTCTATGTATTATTGCAGCTTCATTTTTTGCAAGATTTAAACAAAAGAGAGAGTGCATGCATGAAAATTGAGTCCTTTCTTTGATTTGATAGCAATCTTGGGTGACCTGTGTTCTGCCCAGCACAGAGCGGGTCCTGAGCACCCGGGTCTACGAAGATGCTCTCAATGCCATTGACCCCACCACTATGAGCCTAGAGCAGTAACTTGGAAAACAATGTCAGTCTGCTCAGTTATGAAACTGTAATTATATATAAGAATAACTACTATTTTTATATCTGTTAAATTTCATTTTAAAATTTAAGTAAAAACTCTCTTAGTTATCTTCTATATCTCTTAACTATCCCCTCTCTTCAACAAGAAAATGTTGCATAAAATAAAAATTGTACCTTTTTTCGGGAGAAAATCATAGCAAGAATCCCTGTACCAAAGCACAATGTCAACCTTGAAGATTTTATAGATGAAAACAGAGCTGGTAATCACTACTGTTAACATGACGAATATACCAATCAGGTGCTTCTGGAAACTGGGGACTAGAGCAGAAAAGAGAGGAAACATTTATTAGAACCAAAAGAATTAAACATTTGAGCACAACAAATTAAACATCATCATCCCAGAGAAACCATATTTGGGACTGGCCTGTAATCCCAAATCTCAGATAGTATTAATCCATTCATTATCACTTAATAATGGGTATTAATGTACAAAGACATCTAGAATGGATACCATGTAGAAAAACTACAGCGCATTGTACTAAATCTCCACCTAAGTAGTATAATATATAATCTCACAGAAAAATAACAAAGACCATAGGATAGAGCACAATATAGTAAAAAGAGTCTAAGTTACTCAAAAGCCAGCAAAAGTTCCTAGAGGTAGAAGAGTCAGGTGGGAAAGGTGAAGGCTAGGGGGAAAGAGAAGGGTGAGGGATGCCACACAGAATGTTTAACACTTGGATGTTCTCCAGGCTTCACTGGCTAATTATTCATCCAATGATTGATTACAGAGTGGGGGGCAGAGGAGGAAAGTGAAGGAAAGGTAAGGAGAAGGGGGTAGAGAAGAAGAAACAAGAAAGGGACTTGCAAATGTCAGGGGTCAGGAGGAGAACCAAGATGGCGGTGTAGGTAAATGCTGGTACTCACCACCTCAGATAATAACATTAAAATTACAACTAAAATACAGAACAACCATGAAATCTGGATGAATAGAAATCCTATAATGAGAGAAGTAAATAAGAAAGTACACTGAGATGGTAGGAGGGGTGGAGACATGGAATGTGTGGTGTGGTTTTAATCAGGAGGGAGATCATCTCTGTGGAAGCCTCCCAGGAGGAGTAAGAGTCCCACCCCCACCCCAGCCCCCCAGCCCAGGGTTACGGAGCTGGGAAGAGATGTCCCTGTAATTTCAGGTTGTAAAACCAGTGGGAATTGTGGCTGAGTGACTCATAGGCAGCTGGAGACCCACATGTTCTTCTTAAAGGGCCAGAGCAGGAACTTACTCGGACTTGATTTCTCTGAGCTCCAGCACTGGAGCGGCAGCTTGAAAGGAACCTGGGACATTCAGGGAGGAATTGGATTGTCTGGCCTCAGGGCAAGAATTCAGGGGCCATTTTCTTCCAGACAGGGGGGCTCACAGAGGTCATTGTTCCTATGCTGGGACCCCCCCTTGCAAAACTGACTGGCAGCCATATCTGATTTCCATCAGCCTGGCTCACACTGTTCAGTCTGCCCTGGTGATTTCCAAGATCCCGCCCCATCCAATTTGCAGTGCCATCCAAACTGTTTGCAGTGGCTTTTCTATAGGAATGGCCTATCCTGGCTCGGGCTTCAGACTTTCCTAAAATCTCTTAAACAAGCAGCATCTGACATCAGTGTGCCCCAGACCGATCAATAAGAAACCTAAGACTGCCTTGCTTCACAGCTTGACCTTGCCTGGGCATTTCCAAGTAGCAGTCATCTGCAGATCTCTCTGTAGCTCCTGCCCAATGGCCCCAGGCAGTGGTTGACAGCTCCAGACCAAATTAGATTACAACTCTACACATCCACAGTGACACACTCATGGGGCAGACTCAGTGAACACCAAAGTCCCACTGAAGCAAGTCCTGCTCCATAAGGGTGTCTCCTGCACAGCAGCTCTTCCACTATAGTTACAGCTGGTCCCCACAGCCAATTGGCCTGGAGGTCAACTCCTCCCAGCAACACTAATAGCAATCAAGGCTCAACTACAATAATACTGTGCACATAGCCCACACAGGGGTGCACCTAGAGTGCCCAGCTCAGGTGACTGGGGAGGCTGAGCCACTGGGCCCTATAAGACACCTACTACACAAGGCCACTCTACCAATTCCAGGAGACATAGTAGCTCTACCTAATACATAGAAACAAACACAGGGGAGCAGTAAAAATGCAGAGACAAAGAAACATGTCACAAATGAAAGAACAGAAGAAATCTCCAGAAAAAGAAGTAAATGAAATGAAAGCATGCAAACTACTAAATACAGAGTTTAAAACAATGGTTATAAGGTTGCTCAAGGATCTTAATAACAGCTTCAAGGGACTTAGTGAAACTTTCAAGGAACTTAGTGAGAATTTCAAGAACCTTAGTGAGAACATCAAAGACATAAAAAAGGACCAGTCAGAAATTAAGCTGAAGGTGGTGTCTGCCAACTAAACTGAAGGTGCAGCATTTTAGACGTTCACAGATTGAAGTTCCTACAGTATTGCTTGCTAATGATCTGAGTGCATTGGTGATTATATGTGTCCTCATTCTCTCAGCAAAAAGAAAATAGAATCCCAAAAATATGAAGTCAAGGAGCATGGGCAGTGGGCCCGCAGACACATGGGTCTGGGTGGTGCGTGTGCCCTTCCCATTGTGCCAGTGTATTGGTGTAGACTTGCTCTGTTTTCAGCTGTATTTATTGCTAAATTTCTCAGCATAAACTTATCCCATTGTATTTTTTATAAATAAATATTTTTAACATGAAAAAAAGAAATTAAGCATACACTAACTAAAATAAATAGTAATTTATAGGGATTTAACAGCAGAATAGATGATTCCGATAATCTAATCAATGATTTGGAATATGAGGTGGCAAAAAACAACCAATCTGAACAGCAAAAAGAAAATAGAATCCCAAAAATATGAAGATAGTGTAAGGAGCCTCTGGGACAATTTCAAGAGTATCACTATTCACATTATGGGGTGACAGAGAGAGAAGAGAGAGACAAAGATATTGAAAACCTATTTGAAGAAATAATGACAGAAAACTTCCCTACCTGGTGAAAGAAACAGACTTGTAAGTCCAAGAAGCACAGAGTCCCAAAAAAGAGAATCCCAAAGAGGCCTACACCAAGACACATCATAATTAAAATACCAAGAGTTAAAGACAAAGAGAAAGTCTTAAAAGCAGCAAGAGAAAAGCAGTTAGTTACCTACAAGGGAGTACCCATACGACTATCAGCTGATTTCTCAACAGAAACTTTGCAGGCCAGAAGGGAGTGGCAAGAAATATTCCAAGTGATGAGTAGTAAGGACCTACAACCAAGATTACTCTACCCAGTAAAGCTCTCATTTAGAATTGAGGATCAGATAAAGAGCTTCACAGACAAGAAAAAGCTAAAGGAGTTCATCACCACCAAACCAGTATTACATGAAATGCTGAAGGGCATTCTTTAAGAAGAAGAGGAAGAGGAAGAGGAAGAGAAAGGAGGAGGAGGAAAGAAGAAAAATATGAACAATAAAATGGCAATAAATACATATGTATCAACAATTAAATCTAAAAATCAAAATACATGAACAAGAAATCTAATCAACAAAATAGACTGATGAATAAAATAGAACCAGAGGCATGGAAACATGGAATAGACTGACGAATGAATTTCAGGGAAGGGAAGGGGGGACAGAAAGAGATTAACCAAAGATCTTATATGCATATATGCATTACCTATGGACACAGACAAAAGAGTAGTGAAGGCCTGGAGTGGGGTGGGAGCTGGCTGGAAAGTGGTAATGGGGGGTTGGGAGGGGGGTATCTGTAATACGCTCAGCAATAAAGATTTTTTAAAAATAAAATAAAAAATAAATGTCAGGGGTAAGTAGGCATCAAGAAGAGAACCTGTCCAGACAATGTGCTCAGTGGTTGAGCATCAACTCATGCACCAAGAGGCCATCAGTTCAATTCCCGGTCAGGGCACATGCCTAGGTTGCAGCCTCGGTGAGGGGTGCATACAGGAAGCAGCCAGTCAATGTTCTCTCTCATTATTGTTTCTATCTCACTCTCCCTCTTCCTTCCTCTCTCTAAAAAAAAAAAAACCAAAAACAAACAACAAAACAAAACAAAAAACACAAAGAAACAATAGAAACATATTTTTTTAAAAGAAAAAAAAAGAGAACCTAAAAGCTCTCTTATTTTACTTTTTCAATTTAGGTCTTTGACCCATCTGCAATTGACTTGGGTATAAAGTAGAAATCAAGATATACCATTTTCTAGACCAATAGCTAATTGTCTCAATTGATAGGTATGTTTACAATCTTCACAACTGTGGCTTCATACAAGATCATGGTATCTATAGTATAAATCTTATAAAGTTGTCATTTTTATTTAAGACCATCTTGACTGTTCTTGACTCTTTACATTACCATATGACTTTTAGAATAAGCCTGCCCATAACACACACACACACACACACACACACACACACACACACCCATACTTGCACAAACAGTGCTGAGATTTTGAGTGGGATGGTTTTTAATCTATAAATTCACTTGGGGACAACTAACATCTTTATAATATTGAGTCTCTCAATCCATGAACATTGTATATCCCTCCATTATTGAGGTCTTCTCCAATTTACTCAATAATATTGTTTTTTTTTTAGTTTGTATTACAGAGGTCTTGAACAGCTTTTGCTAGCTTATTTCTATGTCTTCGATAATTCTTGATGCTACTGTAAATGATACTTTTAAATGTAATTCTATTGGTTTGTTGGTATTTATAGACATACATAGAAATACTATATATATATAGACTAGTTATCTTGCTAAATTCATTTATTAAGTCTAATAGTTTGTTCAGATTTTCTTCCATGTACACATTCATAAATACCCTATTTTAACTACAAATAATCTTAAAATATTTCACAAATACTCTCAATACTGTGTCTTAAGATTATACAACTCATGAAAATCAATAACTTCTGACACTTTCTCTGGAAAGTGGATATTTAAACTTCCCCTGCAGTCCTAGCTGGTTTGGCTCAGTGGATAGAGCATTGGCCTATGGACTGAAGGGTCCATGTTTGATTCTGGTCAAGGACACATGCCTGGGTTATGGGCATGATCCCCAGTAGGGGGCGTGGAGGACGCAGCCGATCAATGATTCTCTCTCATCATTGATGTTTCTATCTCTCTCTTCCTCTCTGAAATCAATAAAAATATATATTTTTAAAAACAACATTTAAACTTCCCCTGCACATCCATCATTCACCTAAAAATATTCATTAGATACCTACTGCGACCAGACTTAAGTTGCTACTAGTTTTGGAAATAGGATAGTTAGGAAGATAAATGGTCTGCAGCACCACAGGATTTACAGTCAAATAAAGAAAACTAAGCATGACAACTACCGTGGCGGGCGGGGACCTGGGTGCTATGGAAGCACACACCAGAGGCCCTCACCACTTCTGTTCTGGCAGAGAACAGTCCAGAAAGGCTCCCTGGCAGAAGAAACAGTTCAGCGGAGAAGTGAGAAAGGGAAGATGTTATCCAGGTTAACAGGAATCCCAGAGCATTCTGGGCAGAGGGAATGGCCTTGCAAACCTCAAGGTCACAGAATCTTACCATGGTAAAATAAAAGCACATTTCCAATAAACAGTTTTATTGTTTACCTGGGTGTATTAATTGGATATATGCTGCATTTATTCCATATTTATTCCTGGCTACACAGGTAAATGGATATAGATAAAATTTACTTTTCACTTTTGTAATATTAAGCATTAGGATGACTGTGTTCCTTTTTTTGGATGGAGGATTTTCCACTCTGTTCAAAAGAGAGAGAGAGAGAGAGAGAGAGAGAATAAGTTGTTTTAAGTAAACTGCATTCACGTGCATGGTCTTTCTCTTTATTTGTTGCATAAATGAAGGCAGAAACAACCACCAGCCTACAACCACCAGGTGTAACCATCAGGCTGTTAGCAACATTGATCGAGATGTTATGGACCTACGCCCATTACCAGTAAAAGACGCAGTAGGAGAGAAACTGAATAAAAATCACCAGCTTCCAAGAAGAAAAATATGAACATATGCATTTTGGTCTCCATGGGGCACAGAAAGGAATATATGGAACAAGAGTAGAGTAGGCAGATGGCACAGGGTTTGAAGGTGATGCTAAGGCGGCAGGAGTTTATCCCTAGAGAGGTTCCAGGAGCCCTGAGGACTTGAGCAATGGAAGGCGTGATTCTTGGCCCATTTTATGCGTCCTTTTTAGATTACTTAAAAAGTGGAATAACATGAAGATTGCTTCACCGGAATGTTGCAACATATGTAACTAATTTAACAGAAAGCCTTCCAAGTTGTCCTGAATTTGCACCACGATGACATGCATTTTTATCTTAAATGTACAAGCTCTTGTAAATCCTGTTTAGCTTAACGAAACTCAATATGGGTGGCAAAGGGTTAAGAACCAATCAACCACCAAGTAACTTTTGCTATTCCAGTGGTCGTCAAACTGCGGCTTTGGCCCCTTGAGTGTGGCTCTTCCTAAGCCTTAGGAGTACCCTAATTAAGTTAATGACAGTGTACCTACCTATATAGTTTAAGTTTAAAAAATTTGGCTCTCAAAAGAAATTTCAATCGTTGTACTGTTGATATTTGGCTCTGTTGACTAATGAGTTTGCCGACCACTGGAAATCATCAAGACTGTATAAAGTATGACGTGCAATTTAACACCAAAACGTCTCTGCTGTGGTTGGCACTCAGCATGCTTACTGTATGTAGTCTTCCGCCAGCACCGGGTCGTCATCATCAATCAGTGACCCGTTCCACTTCCAGTAGACAAAGTTAGCTTCCCGGCCAGTGACGTTGCATACCAACTGCAGCTGGGATCCTGCGAAGCAATGCATTTTAAAGCCTAACATTAATTAATTTTCAAGTGATCCATTTATCTATATTAACAAATGGCTACTGAATAAGAATCTTAAATTATAGGAAAGCACAAAGAAAAAGAAAAATCACCCTTACACTTACCACCTAGAGATAACCACTATCAGTAACATTTTGTATCTCATTCCTTATCTTCTCTGTGTACATATGCAATTATTTAAATGGGTGTTATTATCTACTATTTGTAATTATTATTGGGTTGGGAACATTGGCTCACGAGATTAGCCTTCCAAAATAGGCTCCTTCGTGGCTGGCTCAGCATTCCACAATCAGACAGAATATGATGATCATTTTCCCAGTGCTAAACACAATCTGTTCCTAAGTTTTCATTATTATGATTACTATTCCATGAGCATTCTTGTACACCAATATTGTACATTTTCCAAAACAGCACTCCGAATGAAAATCCAGAAGTAGAATCCAGTTAAAGGAGATACATTTTAAAAGCCAGCCCCTCTCGCCCACACAAGACTGCACTTCCCACTCGCCCGGCGTAAGTGCCTGCGTTCACCCCAGGCGCCCCCACTAGGCAGTGCTGACTCAGAGAGGAAACACATTCCATTCACATTTCGCCTGCGTTTCTTGAATTAATGGTGAACTGACATGTTTTTTATAAGCTTAGCGTTCCTTTGCCTTTAAGAACTGCTGGTTATACCTACTGCCCATTATTTCCTGGCATCATTGTGGTAACTCTATCACACACGACAACTCCAAAAACCCTCAGTGTTGCTTGCTTTCATTTCATTTTTATGGAAATCCTTTGGTAAAGATATTTTTATTTTTTGTTTGGTCAAATTTATAACTGTTTATCTGTTTTCACTATTTTTTTCTAAAATCTCCCTCTACCACCAAATCAGGAAAATATCATGTACATTTTATTTGGGGCATGTCATACTTTAATTGTTTTATCTGTTTAAGGGGCCAAGGAAGTCTTAGCTGTTGCAAGGGTTTGTGGCCCTCAAAGGGCCATAGTACATCGACAGACAGACAGAATCTGTGATGTAAGTCCTGAGAGAGGAGCAGGGCTGAAGGGACATGTCTTTTTAGGCTCCCAAAGGGGCACAGTCATGAGAAAGAACTGGGAAATGCTGCTCTCGATTCTACAGGCCCATATATAATTATGAGTTACACATGTTTGTTGGCTTATATCTAAGAATTTCTTTATATTACCATACATCATGAGTAACAAGTTAACAGAACCCACAGGTCACAACTCTACCTTCTAATCCTTTTCTTCTTGCAGTTACTATTACAGACGAGAATTTTGTACACTAACATGATTTTTGATCCTCTGGTACCAAACCTGCCTTTACGCTTAGAGCAGCGGTTTCTCATGGAACGGTCAGTGATGGTGAAAATGTGCTCTATTTGTGTTAACCCTGAAGTCACTGGTCACATGTGGCTACTAAGCTCTTGACTGAGAAACTAATATTCAATTGAACTAAATTAATTTAATTTAAATTTACATATGCGTAACTACATGTGGCTTGCGGCTATTGCGCTGTATGGGGCTGGACTGGATGTTTATAAGATTTTATTCTTGGAATAAACTATGTAGAAGTTAACTAACTTGTGACAGTGTTTTTCTAGAATGACATCCTTTTGCCTGCAGTCTAGCTGTCCTGCCTAAGAGCACCAAAGGCGCCCTGTGCGCCGGGAGTCACACTTCCCACCCTCGGCCTGCTGAGGCTGGCCTCTGGCTGGGGTTCTCATGCGTAATCAGTCTCCGCAGGAGAGCAGGGACAGCCCAACCAGGTGTGGTTCGATGTGTGCCATAAGAGGCAAGAAATCCAAAGGAACATTTAATATGCAACCTGAGCCACTTTCTCTCTAATTATAGGCATGTCCAGTGAACAGCTTAGGCTCTGTGCAGTAAAGGTACAATTTATCTTCACCTCAAACTCAGAATAATTACCGCAGCCTGTCCTGACTGGAGGCTACTCACCCGGGACCACTTCCATCGTCTCGTTCACCGGACTCACAATCTCAGGGCTCTGGGGTCTGTTCTCCTCTGAAATAAACATCCACAGGCTCTCAGTCTCGCACAGATCAGGGTCTCAAATGATACCAACACTTGGCAAGTACACCAAACTATACATGGCGTCCGGCAGATATTCCCTCAAATGTCGGAAGCATTTATGGCAGGAGACAGAGGCAAGAAGTAAAAGAGGGAGCCAGCAATAAGGCCACAGCCAAATCATGACAACCCGCTCCAAAGCCTGCGCCCTCTGAGCCCAGCAGCTTGGGCTACACAAAACCACAGGCAACACAGGCCCCGGCTGCAGACAATGGCTCTCCTAGAGCCAATCAGGATGGGGAGGGGGCTGGTGCTTCCCTGGTGGAGCATCACTCCCCAGAGGGCCTTCGATGCTGGACCTGCTTATACACAGGACCTTTACTAATGACCCAAGAGTAGAATGTCAAGCAATTTGGCATAATTTATTAAAACAGGATAAAAATAGTAAGTAGCTCCAGAAATTAATCTGACTGTTATTTACAAAAAGATTGGCTTCAAGGGGTAACCTGTGGCCAACCCTGAGAAACTATGAACTTAAATGCCAGCTCCATAAGGCAGGATCCTGTCTCTTTGGTTTGGTAACAGTTCCTGGCACGTAGTAGATGCTCAATAAATAGTTTTGAATCTTCCTTTAGAAGAATATTTAAAAATGACCTCACCCCTGATTAAGTACATTATGTCTACACAAGGGGTCAGAAATAACTTAATAGTTTCTATTAAGAGGAAGAATATGTCTGCTGGTCTAGTTGCTACAAGTCAGGAAGAACAAACCAGAGCTACACAACGACCAGAGGGAGGCTGCTCAAAGCTCAAGGTGGTCGTGACTGTTGAAAATGATGATCCACTGATACTAGTAGGAATTAATTCTGATTCAACAAAATAATAAACTTTGAAAAAAGAAAGTATGATGGCAGGAAGAAAGCTCCGCTGTAAGTCAGGCGGTCCGGTTCTGGGTCCCTGCCCTGGGACACGCCCTCCTGTGCCTGTCCCAGCATGATTCGCAGTAGAGGCCCCTTTAACTTCCAAACCCCCGAGAGTGACCGTTATCATATACGATTTGTGGAGCTCTCAGAAAGAACCGTCAGCAGCCATCCCAAAGAATGAGCCTCCTCGGCCAGATGGAAACCCGGCTCATATCGTCTGTTTAATTAGCACTTCATCTGAAGCAGGAGGGAAGCCATTTTCACAGTATTTAGCAACAAAAGTTAAAACCAGGTGACTTTTGGCAAGTCATCCAGCTTCTCATGGCTTTAGCTCCTCCGTGGACATGCAGATGATAGTAGAATCCTGGTCCCTGGGCCTTCCCGGGTAGGAAATCTTAGGACAGAGCTGTGACTCACCAAGAGTTAAAAGCTCGATCACCCGGCTGATGCGATACTGCTTTCCCAGGAGCGTGTAGGATGCGCGGCAAGTGTATTTCCCTTTATGCGCTTCAGTCACATTCATGATGATGAGTTTATTTGATTCTCCAATGAACTTTGCATCGTCAAGAAGTAGAGGTTTGCAGTCCTAGATAGAGCAACAGGAAGGAAGTATTGAAAACCAATTAATAACTTTCTCCAGTCTGCCAGGAGGAAACATTCCACTTTTCCATATCAGTAAATGTTTTATACATATGCAATATGTATATTATATTTTATATATATTTACACATATATATACAAATATGTACTTATACACACACACACACACACACACACACACATATATATATATGAAAAGAAAGATTCCTTGCATAACAAATTTTAATGTGATTTTTGTGGCAAAAGTCATAATTATACTCCTAGGATATTAAATGCTTACACCTATGAGCCTTGCACTTTGAAAACAAATTTATTTGGAAATAAAGAAAAACAGTGGAGGAAAGAATGCTCACACTATATAGCTTGTCTGTGATGCTGTACTTCCTTTCTTCACAGATATTATTGACTTTGTGTTTCTTACCCTGCACAGCATGATTCCCCAAGGAAGCCCTAACAAGCTCGGCAGATCAAAGGTAGCAAACTGATAGTTTCCAGGGAGTGCTAGCCAATCGCTTCTAAGACAGTTACAGAAACTACTGCCCTGGGCGCTGTGGCTCAGTTGTTTGGCGCATCCTCCCGTACACCGAAAGGTCGCGGTTCAATCCTCGGTCAGGGCTCATCCCCAGGTTGTAGGTTGAATTCCCGACTGGGGTGTGTACAGGAGTCAACCTATTAATGTTTCTCTCTCTCAAATCAATAAAAACATATCCTCCAATGAGGATTAAAATAATAGAAACTATTAAGTTATTTAAGGACCACTTGATATTTTAATAAAACACAAAAGAATAAATTTTGTGCCCTGGCCTGTGTCACTCAATGGTTAGAGCACGGGCCCATGTACCAAAGAGCTGCAGGTTTGACTCCCAGTCAAGGACATGTACCTGGGTTGCAGGTTCGATCCTTGGCCCCAGCTGGGGTGTGTGCGGAAGGCAACAATGGATGTGTCTTTCTCACATTGATGTTTATCTCTCTCACCCTCCCACCTTCCACTCTCTATAAAAATCTATAGAAAAAATATCCTTGGGTGCTCAGCTGGCATGGCTCAGTGGTTGAGTGTCGACCTATAAACCAGGAGGTCACCATTCGACTGCTGGTCAGGGCACATGCCCGGGTTGCAGGCTTGATCCCCAGTGTGGGGCGTGCAGGAGGCAGCCAATCAATGTTTCTCTCTCATCATTAATGTTTCTATCTCTCTCTTCCTCTCCCTTCCTCGCTGAAATCAATAAAAAATATATTTTTTAAATGTATCCTTGGGTGAGGATTAACAAATAAACAAAAAAAGAATACTTTTTAAAAAATAAATAGTTATCTCTTAAAAACCCTAAATTTATACTGCCTTATCTTTAAACTTCTTTTATTCTTACTATACTCTTCTTCAACTATATCTTCTTAAGAAAAATAACAGAAAGTAAGCTTTTAGTAAGGCTGCAAATTAAATATATGTAGTCTTACAACTTTTTTCAAATGTCCTATTAAGTTTCACTACTCAAAAGTAAATGATATGCCAAATGAAAATGTACTTTGCAGATTCAACACATTGTCTATGAAAGAAAACTATTTTATTTGCTGGAAAAGTAAAATACTATATTTAATATAACATTACGTGAGACATAGAAGCATGAACAAACTGTTGAACCTCAGAGAGAAGGCAGGGAGGGTGGGTGGGAAGAGATCAACCAATGCACTTGTATGTGTGTATGCATGGGGTGGTGAGGGTCTGGGGCGGGGGGGGGGCGGGGGCGGGGACAGGAGTGGCTGGAAGAAGTTAATGGGGGGAAGGAGGGCCTATGTAATACTTTCAACAATAAAGATTTAAATACTACTACTACTAATAATAATACATATATTAAGACATTACCTTATCCCACTCTATTTTGGGTAACTCATTGTTTTCATCCTTAAAATAATCCAAATAAGGACACACAAGTTGTCCATTTCCTGCAATAATTAGTTTCTGTGGGTATATAACTTGTGCACTGTAACACAAGTCAGGTTCATGTTGTACAAACTTTGCAGTCACTTCAATCTTGAGGCAGTAAGTTGAATTTCTAAAATAAATCAAAATAGGTGAATCAATCATTATTAAAGGGCATTTCTGTCTTAACTATTGTAGGTACACAGAACACAGGTCTGTATCAAAGTAACTTCTTCCTTACCTCACTGTGCAATAGTAAAGCCCTGAATCCTCGACCTTAGCGGGAACAAACCAAAGCTTATCTTTGTACTGATGAATCCTGGAGCCTCTTTCCATAGATATAGCTGTGTTGCTGTCATTTTTATACCAATTTATAGAGCCTTTGTTTTCATTTGGGTCAAGAGGACAGGAACGAACAGCAATTTCATAAGCAGAAGAAACTAAAATTATTGGTCCTGTACGTTCCTCACATTTACCTTTAAAAGGGAGAAAGGAAAAGCAAATTCTAGATGAAATCTGTCAATGTCTCTTAATATAATATCTACATATAAATGTATCAATTACTCAATACATTAATGCATATTAAATATTTACCAGCCTTATGATTAACACCGTTATCTTGGAAGTCTGAAATATTTATATCCAAATTCAGTTGTATTACTTACTACCTGAGTGCCCTTGAGCAAGTTATGTAACCTCTCATCCCCTCTTGAGTCATCTAAAAATGGGTGAAAATGTAGCAGGTGAGAGAGATGCTTCAGTACAAGATGGAGTACAAGGGAGTGGATTTACCCTCCTACCTGAACAACTGAAAAATGGGCAATGTTTATGAAACAATGATGTTCAAGACATTGAACATAAAAATCGAAATATCAGAAAGGTGGGAGTCAAAGGAGGGAAGCCCTAGAATCTTCCCAAATTGCTGCCTAGCGAGACCAGGACCGTGGCGTTGCAAGGAGGAAAGCTAGGCAAAGTCTCAAGTTCTCTGAGTGAGGAAATGGAGCTGGGAATCCAAGTAAACCAAAAGTGTGCAGGGCAGAGCACCAACAGGTCAGCCCTGCACACGGAGCGAGCGGGAGAGGAAGTGAGCAAGCACTTTGCTGACCTACAGAGAGTCTCCCTCAAGTTTTCAGCTGAGTATTGATTACTTTAAGTTATATAAGAAAAACCACCCAAGGTCAGAGTGAGAATTGCCAAAAGGATTAGAGTAAATAATACCTAACCCACACACAATTCTGGAAATAGTTGCTGTTTACAGCTGGAATGGAAAACCTCAATAATCATGGGGCATCAGGTAAAATATCCAGAAGGGTTTTGACTCAGTACATGGGGAAAATCAGGCCTCGAATAAAACTTTTTCTGATCATAACTAATAAAGTTTAAAAGCAAGATCTGAAATGATCACCCATTTTCAATAATAAACCTATGATAGAGCAAACTCAAGAACATTTTTCATAATACAAAAATATCCAGCAACCAGAATGGTGGAAATAACAATGTCTATCATCTATTAAAAAATTGCTAAGCATGCAGAGAAGCAGGATAATATAACCAATAATGCAGAGAAAATAATCACTACTGACCCAGAAATGACAGAGGTGATAGAATAAATAGAAAATTAAAATAATTATTACTATTGTGTTTCACTTGTTCGAGATACTAGATCAAACCTGTTGAGAAGAGATGTGAGAGTTGTTTTTAAAAAACTTAAATCAAATTTCTAGAAATAAAAACTACAATGTTGACTTAAAAAAAACTCGCTGGATGTGATTAATGGCAGATTTGACATTGCAGAAGAAAAGCTTAGTGACTTTTAAGACACGGCATTAGAAACTATTCAAAATTAAACACAGAGAGAAAGAGAAAAGAACAACATTAACAGGGCAGTGTTTAGCTGCTGGACAACCTCAGTACGTGACATAGGAATCCCTGAGGTAGAGGAAAGGTGCATGAAACAGAAGAGTATTTGAAGTCACACAGGTTGAAATCTTTCAAGATTTAATGAAAATGAGGAGCTCACAGACTCTAATATCACAATGAAACCCAGGCAAAAGCAGCATGAAGAAAACTCCACCAAACAAAGAAAAAGTAATGCAGCCTTCTTGCCAGAAAAAATACAAGCCAGAAGAAAGTGGCATAAAGATAAATACTGAAAGATAAAAAGTCAACCTAGAAGTTATACTCAGTGGAAATATTTTTCAAAAATAAAGACAAAATAAAACTTTTTTGTGTATTTATTAAAGCTGTAAAAATTCATCCCCAGACCTACACTATCAGGAAAGTATAAGAAGTCCTTTGGAGATAAAGAAAATAATATTGGATAAAAATGAATCTACACAAAGGAGTAAATACACTAGAAATGTTTACTATATGGGTAATTATAAAATAACTAGTGACACGGTGCATAAAATCACGAAGCCCTGCCTACCCACGCCCCACTTTGACACCCTAACCTCTCTACCCAGAGCTCAAGCGGGCCTGGCCCTGCCCCCAACCCCTCTGGCCTTCTCTGGCTGCTTCAAGGCCCGCCCTCAGTCCTGTGAGTCACCTCGGGCTGGTCTTGCCTCCTCCAGGTGCCTCCCTGCTTCCGCCCCGTCTCTGAGCAACCGCTGCACCGCACAGGCGCACGCAGCCTCCTGCTGATGGATTGTTACATGTGAGGGCGTCCTGACCATTAGCATATTAGCTCTTTATTATATAGGATTTTTCTTACTCTTTAGATCTCCTTTAAAATAACTGCATGTTTAAAGCAAAACCAATAGTGTATAGTAAGATTTATAACATATTAGTAGCCCTGCACACGAATCTGTGCGCCAGTAGCTTGCCAGTAGCTCGCTGCCGCCCTCCAGTAGCTCTCCACCCACTGCCCCACTCTCCTGTAGCTACCCCTGACCCCCTTCCCCCGCACCCCCCCTCATAGCTTGCTGCCCTGCCCCCTCCTGTAGCTCTCCACCGCCCGCTTGTAGCTCACAGCCCACCCTCCTGCTGATCCGTGACCCGGTTCTATGTGGTCGGTCATTACACTTCACGGAGTAACGACTATTTGCATATTGCATCTTTATTATATAGGATAAAGCTGTAAAAGGCCTGGGAACAATGGGGCTAAGTTCTAGAATGGAAGTATACTGCCTTACATTTCTTATACTCTGTGTGAAATGGCAGAGTATTACTGAAAGGTAAACAGTAATAATTAAAGATGGATACCAGAAGCCTGAGAGCACTTATTTTTTTATTATTAATTTCAGGGAGAGGAAGAGGGGAGATGGGGAGGGGGGAAAGAGAGAGAGAGAGAGAGAGAAAGAGAGACATAGATGTGAAACATCAAGCAGTTGTTTCCTGCACCCTGACTAAGGATCGAACCCATAACCTGGGAATGTGCTCTGACTGGGAATGAACCCGCCACCTTCTGGTGCATGGGCTAATGCTCCAACCAACTGAGCCACACTGGCCAGGGCTCCAATAGCACCTACTTAAAACAAAAACAGTTACTTAGTATAAGCCAACACAGGAGATAAAATGAATCATGAAAATTCTCAATCAATCCAAAAGCCAGCAAAAAAAGAAAAAATAAAAGAATTGATGGGACAAATAGAAACTAAAATATGATCCTGAAATTAAATCCAATGTATTAATAATGATATTTTAAAATATTAATGGCCTAAACATCCCAATTGAAAGGCAGAGGTGGTCAGATTAGATAAGGTGAGAAGAATCCAACTGTATGCTGCCTAGCACAGATGTACACACATACATGCATACACACATGCCATCATGCTTACACACACTTTAAATAGAAAGATACAAATACATTTCAAGTAAAAAAAAATGGTGGGGGCCCACACCAGGTTAACACTAATCAAAAGAAAGTTTACATGGTTGTTACATTGATAACAACCAAATTAGATTTTACCGTAAAGATTATTAACAGAGATAAAAAGGGTCATTTCATTATGATAAAGAAGTCATTCTTCAAGAAGTACATAGTAATCCTAAATGTTTACTAAGCTACTAACAATGCTTCAAAATACTTGAAGCAAAAATATTAGACTGCGTCCTAGCTGGTTTGGCTCAGTGGATAGAGTGTCAGCCTGTGAACTGAAGGGGCCCTGGTTCAATTCCGGTCAAGGGCACATGCCCAGGTTGTGGGCGTGATCCTCAGTATGGGGCGTATAGGAGGCAGCCAATCAATGATTCTCTCTCATCATGGATGTTTCTATGTCTCTCTCCTTCTCCCTTCCTCTCTGAAATCAATAAAATATATATTTTTTAAATGTTAGACTGCAAGGAGAAATAGAAAAACCCACAATTATAGTCAGAGATTCCAATACCCTACTCAAACAATAATTGATAGAACAAGTAGAACAATTAGATAAATCAGTAATGATATAAAAGATTTGAACAAAAATTTTGGTGTAACTGATATTTATAAAAAATCCTACTCAACAATAGCAGAATACACATTTTTAACACAACAACTTTACCAACATATACAATATTCTTGTTCATCACCCAGTAATTGATGTATTTAAAGGGATTCAAATTAGACAAAGTATATTTTCTGGTGATAATAGGATTCAATTAGAAACCAATAACCAAAAGCTATCTAGGAATTCCCAATATGTTTGACAAGACATTTTAAATGAATATGAAATACACTGTTAGCTGGGAAGCCATACTGTCCTAATTTATCAGTTCTATAAAGTATCAGCAGATTTGAACATAACTTCCAGAGTGTGCAGAATGCAATCATAAAAAATATTATTTGTAAAATAATAAAACAAAACTAAAAACACACTTCTAAATAACCATGAGTCAAAGAAGAAATAAAAAGAGAGCGTAGAAGGTATTTTGACTGAATGATAAGGGAAATACATGTCAAAATTGATGATATTCAGTGAAAGCAGTGGGGAGAGAAAAACTGACAGCACTAAATGCCTATAGAAGGAAAAAGATCTCAAACTGATGACTTCAGTTTCCACTCAATAAATTAGAAAAAAATGCATCCAATGTAAGCAGATTAAAGAAATAACATGACTCCAACAGACAATCAGTGAGCCCTGGCTGTGTGGCTTCGGGGTTAGAGGGTTGACCTGTGCACCAAAAGGTCACAGATTCGATTCCCCGTCAAGGGCATGTACCTGGGCTGCAGGTTGATCCCTGGCCCTGGTAGGGGTATGTGTGGGAGGCAACCAATGGATGTGTCTCTCTCACATTGATGTTTCTCTCTCTCTCTCTCTCTCTCTCTCTCTCTCTCTCTCTCCCTCTCCTCCCCTCCCTGCCTCCCTCCTCTCTGTCTCTCTCTCCCTCTGTATCCCCCCTCCAATCCCTTCCTCCCTTCTACTCTCTCTAAAAATCAATGGAAAAAATATCCTCAGGGGAGGATTAACAACAACAAAATTAATGAAATGGAAAATGAAAAAATAACAGAGAAAAATCAGATACTAAAAGCTTGTTCTTTCAAAAAATTTGATTGATAAAGATCTCCATTCAGAATGACCAGGAAAAAAGAAAGGTGTTATCTCTCAAAGGAGTAATAAGGAAATATTAAGAACAAATGTATGCTAATAAATTCAATAACTTATGTGAAACAAGAAAATTCCTTAAAAGGCACAGACTATAAAAGCTCCCTCAAAAAGAAATAAATAACCTCAATAGCCCTATAGATACTAAAGAAAATGAATTTGCAGCTAAAACCTTCCAACAAAGAAAATTTGGGGC